CGGTGCCCGCGGTTGTACCTGCAATCGATTCCGGGATACGATCCGCGCTTTTTTAGATTCCGAGCGGTACTTGTGAACGGGCTTGTGGTTTTACAATGACGTTTCGTTTTTTATCGTATCCGCGGACAACCCTCCGCCAGAAATCGGTTCGTTCGGGACTTTTACTCGTCACACGTGAAAAGCCCGTATGCGCGGCCGGTTTATGTTGTATACTCCAATCGATACGCCGTAATGTACGCATCAATAAAAATGTAACTCAAACATTACCGATTGACCAACACTATTGACCCGGTCAACCAACCAGGTACACGCGGTGCAGGTTGCACCCACGATTGGTCCGAAGTCCCGATCCGTCCCTGTAAATAGGTGTGTATACGTATGTGTGTGTGTGTGCGTGTGTATTGTGTATCGTACAAATACACTGATCTGTGGTAAAAATATAACTACAGAGTGTAATAGCGTTCGTAACACACAATTAACTCAACGTAATCGTTACGAACGGGCAGTTTGACGATTCGTAAAATATAATATTATAATTTTAATGTTCGATTTCGTTAACGTGCGAGACCCGAACTGGCGTACGAGTGCGTGAAGCCCGGGGCAGGGGCCCCCGTCGGCCCCTGCCGAACCCCGGCTCTGCGCGTGTATATAAATATAAATACCTAATCGTATACCGTGTGTCCGTCGTTAGATTCGATACGATTTGCGATCGGTGCCGGCCTGAAGGCGGCGCGCTCGCCCAGAGCACCGTGCTTTTGGAGGCCCTGCGTCAAGTCGCAATCGCAGCCGGACGGTATTTTCACGTGATCGTGTAGGAAAATACGGATTCAAATTAATAAACCGAGAAGACTTTTGTACCGTAAAGATTTACCTACGCTAGGTATAAGAAAAAATAAAAACAAAAGAAAGCAGCTGGCTGCGCTTCGCGGTCTTGATATTTTCCAAGCCGGTCCTAAATTGCGATGCGGTTTGAAATCTGATGCATTTCGAAAGCGTAACGCAAAAACTGTATAAAATATCCGACTGCCTCTCGATACGCATTACACGTCCGATTGACGACCGTGAGCGTGCTCACCGGAAGGGTTCGTGGGGTTTAAACAATCCCCTCATCGGCCGTTTTTATATTTTTTTTTTTTTTACAATTAATTAATTTTGAATTTGTTACGGATGTGAAAATTCATTGTGGCATCGTACAGTTTTTATTTACAATTACAACATAAATATATTTGTTGCACCAAAAAATTATTGATGAATTATTTAAAATTAAAAATTGCATTTAATTTTCCATTGTTATTTTTTTAGATTCTAAGTTTAGAAGAATTTATTGGTTTTACGAAGATGTTTATTTTTTTTCTTTGTGTGAACACTTTTTTTTTCCCCCGGAAAGCTTACTCCGATTTTCATGTATAGCAATTTTTCTCGATTTTATTTACAATAATAATATTCAATGACAACTGCCGATAATAATGTATACGTCGTACCGTACTTTCGTACTGTTGCGTTGTACTTGCGGGTAATAACAAGTTTACCGAGTGCGTTAATAATTGTATATGAGGGCTGTGCTGTAACTCGTATGGTCACTCCTATATAGCCTACTATTGGTATTGGACCACAGCTAGTGTTTTAGTCATCGTTATAGTCGGTTACTCAAATTTGCGATTCTACAACGAAAATAAGGTTTTAGTCAGACTCAAATAAAGCCCATTGTGTGATTACAATAGTGATATGGTTATGGCACAAAATTTAGACGCCTAAACAATTCTGAATGGACTCTATAATAATATGATAACAGCTATGTTCTGTCTATATCAAAAATTAAATTTGTTTTTAATTCTGTTGTTTTAATTGGTTATTATTATAATTATAATAATTTGTATTAATAATAATTAAATACAATTATGGCATTGTTTTTGAATATTGTATTATTATAAAATGATATTAAAGAACGAAATCGTTCAAAAAATAAATTGCGTTTGTATATCGGCGATACTTGAGGGATACAGCCAATCCATTTGAACTTTCCGAGTTCAATTTCAAAAAAATTATACACATTACCGAAAAATACCATTTTTTTTTTTTTTTTGATTATAAAAATGATGCGCCCATTTAAAACATAAATAATCAACGTAATGGACTTCTATATAGAAGTTCAAGTAAGTATAATTTGCTTTTAATGATGTTATGTAAATAGTAAAATTATAGTAATTAGACGCTTAAGTAGGTAACCAATGTAACTAAAATATTCAATTATAATATAATCATCCCAACAGTAATCACAAATTGATTTATCTACTAGGTTCGTACAGTTATTCGTTTTATTGCTTTCGGTTGCTAACAGGTTATCTAATGTCTATTATGCAAAAAATATTATACAGAAATGATAATGAATTATAATTATTTATTTAGCAGTTGGCAACACTGTTCTTTTTTTACAATAATACCGTGTTATTTTCCTGTGACTAAAGAAAACGCATAATCTTTTGGTCGCAAAAAATAAAGTTGACTTAATCATTATTTTTTTTTTAGAATCGTTAGCGGCTATAAATAAATTGACTATAATCTAGTCGACTAGCGCAAAAAACGTCTTATAAAATATTTTAATGATTCGATAATTTAGTGGCACTATAAGTTTTACTGGTTTCACGAAGTATTTTAATGATAGATAATTAACATTAAAAAGCGTCGCACAAAATAATATTCCAAAATATAAATTTAACCACATAACGTAACGGTTTAACAATCTAAAGCCGTGGTTGATAACAGATAATTGATGAAATAAATTTGTTAGTAGGTTCTTAATTTATTCATATATTTATTATTAAATTAAAATTTGTGACACAATGACTGAAATCGATAACAAATCTACTAAATATCTTATTGGACATATCGGTACGCTGTTTTGGTAGAATTTCTCAAACGTCAACCACGTCCATTATAATTAAACTACAATAAAAACAATTTATGCACTCGGTCGAATGAAAATGAAAAAAAAAAAAATCCATGTTTCTATTCAACATTGATAAATCGCACGTTATTTAATCACAATATAACTGGTTGTGGGCCGGATTCGAGCCTACAAACCGTTGAACCAACAGTCCGACTTTTGACCGACGTTTCGTCGACTCAATAAGGCACGCGAAGCCGCGTGCGACGTCGTTGAATTCGTATCGATTCAACAACCCGATCCGCCGGACCCGTACAACAAACACCGTTGATTAACTGGACAAAGTCTTGCGCGACCCGGGCTCGTTTCGATCGCGTTTACGGATTCGCCATTCCGGTACCGTACCGAACCGATTGCGGTTATTATTGTCCGCTGCGGGCGCACGGCGATAACAACAACACGCGTTTAACTCTACAAACACCATTACGTTGTTACGAACGACATTACGCGTGTGCCGTTTCCGATAATTCGCGCGTTATCGACGAAACGCGTTTGAAAATAATTACAATTCAATCGTCCGCCGCAAACGGGAATCATCAACCGCACGGATTGTCCGGTCGCCGTGGGTTTCACTAATAAACTCAATCGAACGTACGTGCATTGCAACGTTATCCCGTTGTGGTACGGTTTCCATTGCGCGATCGCGAACGCGGTCAGCGAACGCGATCGACGGACCTTAGATCGCGTTCGCATCGTCTCGGTTTATTCTGAACGATTTTACGTCGCGATCCGAGAGTAATTTATGTCTCATCGTTCGGTCGTACTTAATATTTTGATGCGTGAAGTACTCTAGTGAACGGCGTAAACGAACGTACTGTGAATTTTTAAATTATAATGGATACATCCGACGGCGTAAATATATTGAAAATTCGTTTTGAAGAAGAATATAGAACTAATATTTTCCAAATGGCATCTCTAAACCTCTTAAAAACCTTTGTAATCCTTGTTTTGAGGATTATAAATTGGCGGATTTTTAGCAACACATTCAACCAGAGCTTCATATTCTACTTTGCTAAATTTGGTCATCGGAGCACTCATTGTTGAAAGACACGACCAACGTCAACCAGCAATCCAGTAAATGAACGTCGTATCATAATTTTCTTTCAAAATAACAAATTAATCGCGGCGCGAACGCGAAGTGACTGCTTCAACAGCAATTTAGATGACGCGCGATCTTAGATCGGATCGCGTTCGCGGTTCGCGCGAGGGAAACCGTACCTTTACACGGCTCTTGTCGCGCGGCCGCGAACGGCGTAACGCGCGCCGTGAATGTAAGTAAAGGGTCCGCGTGCGATTAATCAAGTCTCGGGACTCTGCCCGCAAACGTATACGCGCCCGAGAGTACTCGCGGAGACGAGCGGTTACTGATCGCCGTGACTGCGCGTGTCGCGCGCGGACACGTTCATTCCCGCCCTTGAGGTCCGGCCTCCGGTCTTCCGACGGTGTTTGAAGGGCCGAGAGCGCGCGCTAGTTTACCGTCGTGTAAACATTTTTTTTTTTTCAATCGATACAGATTATTACTTATTTGAATTAAATCAAATCAATTTGGAATGAGTGCGCGACAACGGACAGACATGACGACATTTTCGAGTTAATCGATCTTTACGAGGAACAGGAATTTTCGGCGGAGAGCTAATCGATCTGGCGTTTCGTTAAATCCAAAAGCATTTCGAATTGCGCTGCAGACATCCGAATAACATTTTCAAACCGCTGCGCGTCCTCCGACCGAAGCTCATTTGCAAGGTTTGAAGCGGCTCCCGAATCACTTCGACGGTCCACCCGTTTCCTAACCCGACGTTTCCGTTTTCTTTTTTCTATTATCTTCCGTTTTTGTACAATATTACGCGCAATTATAAAAGCTAGGAGGGCCTGATACGAATCCGTTTTGTAAAAAAAAAAAAAACACGCGTGCTTGCGGTCAAGTCACACACAAGACTGTGTGTGTTAACTCACCAGTCGACACGAAATTGGCTCGGTCTCGAGACTAATGTCACTTTCGAGTCTCAAATACCTATCGCGACGTCGCAAGCGATCTCAAATGGCCAACGCCCTGAGACTAATCTCGAGACTTTCTCTCGAGGTTTGGTCTCGAGTGGACACGTAGCTTGACATCCGGTGTCGAACTGTGCGGGTTCACTCGTCCAGACAGACGGGAATATTCTCGTCTATCTCGACGGATTCGCGCTGGACGCCCGTCCGATGCGTGCGACGACGGACTGGATTGCCGTTTACCGGGCCGCGTCGCTTGTTGTTGGACGTACGGACGTTGGATATTTCGACACGGCGGCTCGGTCACACGGGCGCCGTTTTGACGTACACGTTTATCGGAGAGATCGTGCGCCGGCCGCCGGATTTCGTCTGACGCGTATGCAAACAGATTGCCGGTTAAAATGGACGTGGAACTATTAATAATTTGCGGAAACGGAATTACAAAACGCCCCGCTCGACAATCGTTCACTGTTTACAGGACGAACCCGCCATTTTCGATTGACGCGGGGTTTTTTTTTTTCTCTCTGTCATCGTAATACTCTCACAGCGGAGTGTAGAAAAATCGCCGTGTCCAAATCGTCCGTCTTGCAACTGCACACGCATAGTCTATCGAGACGCCGCTGTGGATGCGAAATTATCAGCTGACGTTTTACGTTCGTATGACTAGGGTCCGTTACAGCGCGCGCGTTATTTCAACGTTATTTCGTGCGACCCCAGCCTAAATATTGTTTAATAACAATAATTAATAACCCGAAACTGATATAATAACACGGTAAACACGCGTATACACGGTAATAACGATTATTCCATTATAATAATACCGCGCCTATGCCAATGTTATTATTTGCAATACGTTCGATCAAGTATTAGAAATTTGAACGACGCATACGACTTCACGTTTCGTCTATTCCCGGGGGACGAAAAACCGCCTCGTAATGCAGTTTTCATACGTTTATCCGCACGAAATTGTATACATTAGGTAAAAATAAAAATGCGATGTTTGGGGGACCTTACCTTCAAATTCTTCATACGCGGCATGAACGCAAGTAAATACATTAATTTATAGAATTATCGAAAATACAAAATCTATTAACAATAACAATAGGCAATCGTCAACTATTAGATAGATGTTCAAAAAAATTTTGCTTATTATTTTCATAATTTAAGTTCAGTACAGTGACAGTTTAAGAAAACCGGTGTAGCGCCTGCGGAAACGACTACGGAAACTAGTTGTTTTAACGTGAGCTATCGGCAAAATGGGAGTTTGCGAAGTGGGAATGAACCGATTTATACATATATAAAAAAAAAAAAAAAATCTTTTTAAAAAAAAAAAAACGGTACCGAAGGTATCGAATTAAAGCGGCAAATACGCATACGCGCGTCCACTATAAAACGACGAACGAATTGCAGAAGACTTGTTTTGTCAAGTGCGAACGGATTTATTTGTAGGTCCTTAACGTTGAAATGTTCACGAAAAACACGGCGATGGTCACGACCGATAAATATACTAGCTACGCTTGTATGTATACAGTATGTTTCAATGTAAAATCATAATTTCCATAATGTATTTCATTATGCCAGTTGTCTATATTATTGTAACAGTTTCGTGTTGGTTCTGCGGAGGAAGGGGGAGGGGGAGGGGAACACGTACGCCGCTAGTTTACATATACACCCGTGGTACGCACGTGTTGTAATTTGAATGAAAACAGAGACGCTCGTTTCCGCACGCGCTTTGAAAACGCGTTTACACGCGACGCGTATCGCCCAGATTGACTGCTCAGTCGCAATACGAGTTAGACTCTATAGACGAGCGATGACCGCGCACGAACGCGACGCGTCTTTTGAACGGTACGGTTCGACGTTTGTACGGAACTGCCCCCGGCCGGCAGCACGTCATAGCTCCCCGATAACGGGAACCTGCGTAAACACATCAAATGCCGGACTCGAAAAGCGTGCGGCGTCCTATTACCGCGATAATACTTTCCGGGGGGGTGGGGGGGGAGTAAAGCTGCCCCGACAACGCGTCGGTCATATCGAAATATGCCGAGTTTCGCGTTTTTTCTCGGCCGCGATCCTCCGCGATTCGGCGATTCCCGTCGTCTTTGTCTGTGTACTCCCCTGTTCTCCGGGTCGCGAAAACTGTTGTCCGCCGCCATTTTACAACGCCGTGTACCACGCGTTTGGCCGCGAAATCGCTTTTGAACGCGCCGCGACCGCTTAACTGGCCGTGCGCGTGTCGCTCGCACTCACGCAAACACTCGTCACGTATTACCGCGATCGTTTAAGAGAACGCCGTCGCGCGCCCGCAGGCCATCTCCGTCGTAATGTTAATGTGCGCGGCCGCGCGGACACGGCGAATTCTCGTTCGTCGGGTTCACGGGGTTCCGTGCCGTTACGGCGTTGACGCGGGAGCGTCGCACGTCCCGCCGTCGGACTGCACTGCGATTTCGACACTCCGGCGTACCGATACTGACGGCGCGCCGTCTGCTGAACGAAACATTTGTTACACGGCGCGGGCCGCGGGCGCGTATTACGAATGCGGCGGCGCGCGCGCGGTCTCTCGGAGAGAACCGCGATTTCCATGCGTTCGGTGTTACTTGAATTTTAATATACGAGATGCAACAGCGTTTACTCAAACATTGGGCCGCGGGTCGCGAAAACCGTTTTGAATCATACGAGCCCCCCCGGCGTTTCTCCCGAGCCGGTCTCCCGGCCGCCTCGCGGTCATTCACGCGCGCGCGCGCGAAACGGAACCGATCGTTGTCGGCGATGGTTTCGAACCGGCCGCGGCCGTGCGCGTTCGCCGACGTGAATTACACGATTGCCGTGCGATAGATACACGCGGCCGATTATAAATTATCGGACGCGTCGGGCCAATCGCGACGGGCCGCGCGATTGGGTCTCGCGAGGCGGGCGCCGCGTTTCACACGCGCGCGCACCGCCGCGGTCCGTCCGCAACGTTTATTGCTGCGTTCGGCGGCCGGCCGGTCGTTTCTTCGCGCGGGACGACCGGCGGCGCGGTCAGGGCCGGTTCGCGTGAACAGCGTCAAACGCGCGTTGATATCGACACACGGCCGTTCGCGCGGTTGCCGATTTCGCGCGGGGTTTTTTTTTTTTTTTTTTTCCCCTACGCATTTCGACCGCTCGTTTTCACCGCGGTCGGTCGGGCGTCGGCGGCTGTTGAACGACCAAACGTTCGGTCGGACGTCGCGCGCGCGACCCGTGTACGGATGCCGTACGCCGTTTGAAGACACCGTCACGGACCGGAATGGACGAAAATAACGGGTCCGTCGCGTTTTACGAAAAAAAAAAAAACGGACCCGCCTCGAGCACTTGCTTCGCTCTCGGCGCAATTACACGCCCGCGACTCGTTGTGACTGGCGACCCTTTCGGGGGGAAAAACGATCGCACAGACAGAACGCGTCGCCGCGGAACGCGCGTCGCGACTGCGCACTCCGACGCTCGTCCGTGTATACATTTCACACGTGTTCTGGCGCGCGCAGACGGGGCAATCGCGGCGCAGCGGCGTGCAGAGCACGTTGACAATAAACGCGCGTTGTCGTCCGTACAACTGATTAGGAATTGCGCAGCGATCGTAAACGCGCGTTGACCGCGCGCCTGCGGTGTGAACCTGACCGGACGGTTATCACTGCGACGATACACGGCGCGGCGTTCGTTTCGCGGGGCCGCGCGCCTCTGTTTTCCCGGAAACGAACGGTTTTTTTTCGATTTCCGTTCCCGGCCGAACGCGTTCCGTCCCGGCGTCGAACGCGACTCTCGATTCGGACCACCAACCCCCCCAGAGATCGTTGTTGTTTTGTTTTCCCCGTGTTGTTCGCGTGGTTCATTTCATTTCGTCGCGTGCGCGTTGAATTGAAAACGTGACGCGGATAAACAGTTGAACTTGTGTCGAAAATATAACAATACCGTTTCGTTCTCGCGGCCGTCCACGTACGACGAACATTAGGTGTTTTCGAAAGATACCCACCACCACCCTCCCCCCCACCCGTCCCCCGTATTGTACAAGGCGTACACAAACGTCCGTCAATCGTCCGTCGACCCGGTGATTTTCTCGGAAGATTTCAAGTGCGTCCAAATGTTCGATTCCGATGCATGCAGTTTCAGATTCCGGGTGGGAGTTACTGGTTCCGCTATAGTTATAATTCGCTATAACGTATGGTTCGGTTTTTTTTTTTTTTTTTTTTTATTTTCGACAACACATTTTCCACCGGAAATACTCTGTAGGTACTCCGTCTTGTAGCGCATCTACTCGGCGCGTCGGGGATTTCGTTTTTTTTTTTTTTTCATTGCGGTTTGCTTCACACGCGGGGAAAACTGTCAATATTTCGTAGGATTTTCCGGGTTATCTCGGCAACAGGGGACGAATTACCAGCAAACAATACATAACACTCTGCTCGGAATCGTTTTACACGAGTAATGATAAAATTTAACGTTGCGCACAGATATAAATCGAATTTGTTATTCAACACTGTCGGTCGTTTTCTTTTTTCCGATTGTTATGGAACCGTTTTAAGCGCTATTTCAACACCGTTTCCAATCGGTACCCTTACTCCGTGCGCCTTAAATGGGTATGCTGCACATGTTGTCGATTTTGAAATCGGACATTTGTGTTTAAAAGGCGCCGCGGGTTCTAACAGAGGAATTTCGCCCGAACACATTGACACGCGCGCGTGTAAGAACAACCGTATAACACTCCCGGTCTTCGAACAGGCCATGGCCGTTGCGCAAATATGATGTTTAAATGGCGACTCCGAGACAGCCCAGCATGCGACTGCGGCAACGATAGACAAACCATTAAATCGCATTATAAAGGAATGCAAGCTAAGGAAATTCAACCGGGGCATCGAAGGAATCCACGTGATAACACCGGAAGCAGTAAAGTGGATAAGGGAACTGGACGTACACCTGTAAACTGTTACGCATTGTTATGTTTTATTGTTATATTATATTTTATAGATATATAAAACCTCAACCTTTTCAATCTAAATTTAATTAAATTATGCTTTACGTTTATATTTTATTTTTACTGTTTAATTTTTGCTGTAAATGATTTGTTAAGCCATACGGGATAAATAAATAAATAAATAACTCCCGGTGATACCGGGATTTGCCGTTGATGCATTCCGTAGTGATTAACAACGGTTCGAAATCCGTACTTTGCGGTCGGGCGGCCGTAGCGCGCGGCGATGAACTCCGTGTCCGTTTTCGGACGATAAACGTCGACAACGCGGAACGTAAATTACGGTCTGCGGCGGCTACTGTGCGATTCGTTCGGACTGTTGTAATGCCACGTTTACGGAACGCGATGGGATCGAATGGCGCGCCGCGGACTCGGGGTTAGGACTACGGTTACGGCGACGAAACGTAAAGGAAATGACGTTTCGGGGGGGGGAATTTTCGTTTGTTTAACGGCATTGCGTTACGCGCACTTCCGCGTCGGGCACGGTATTCCGCGCGAAAACCGCGGCCGTTCCGCCGCCGTCGGGGGGTGGGAGGGGTGTATTCCGCGCTCGCGCCGCTCGGTCCGCCGTGCCCGTAACGAAACAACGCGACGCAACCGTTTCGCCGCCGCGTCGGTTCACGAAACGGCGAAATACGAAACGCGCCGTCGGGACGGTCGTGACGCGAACTCCGCGCGCGCGGGACACCGGACACCGCGTTCGTCGCAACGGGACAATATCGTTTGCGACGGACGTAACAATAACGTAAATCGCACGCTCACTCGGTGCACCGCGCGTACCGCATACGCGTCGTTTACGTACCTATGCGTGTGGCGTAGAGTGGTTGATTCCATGCTAACGCGCGTCGTTATAGGCCTGCGCAACCTCTCAGCGTTTCCATCATCTTTCCCCGGTCTAGTTTCCATTTCCGTGCCCCTTGTTCGCCCTGTCTCGGAATACCGCGGCCCCGTCCTCTCGCGGCAAAGCCGCTACCGAGCGCGTTCAACGTAAATTTCTCCATTCAATCGCCTTCCGATTTAATCTGCCCCGCCCACCGCACTATTACTCCTCCGTATTCTCCGTGATTAAAGTTTCACCGATCGCGGGCACTTATATTTAACACCAGACTCCGTCTCTGATCTCATCGCCGACAAAATATGTTCTGCTACTCTGTTATCTCAACTCTCTTTTAAACTCCCACGCTCTTCTCCGCCATTTCTAATTACGTTGTCTTCTTCTAATTATTGCTCCGTTTCAACTCTCCATTTAACCACTGACAATTTACCCGTTTTCTTTAATTGCGTATTGTGCCTACTTGCGTTTTCGGGCTCGTCCCGCGTTATCAAATAAAACGAATAAATTACGCAAGAATCGAAAAAAAAAACCGTAACCATCAATTATTGTAACCAAACCGTTCAATCGTTCCGATTTCGGGACGCGCACAATCGATGCAATTTTTTGATTTCACGTTTGTGTGTTTCTCACTCGACCGTAACGAGCGTTTCTAATGCGATAACTGTGCGGCCCGTTGCGGCTGAGCTTGCGGCTCACGATCACGGGTGGGTTCCTTTGCACGGGGCCCATAATATCATTGCGCGTTGCAATTGTCGTCGGTAAATTAATTATTATTACGCCGCCGTATACGCGTACGGACGGCGGCGATACGACGCGATTGTGTGCGTGCGTGTGCGGGAGGGGGTGGCGGCGGAGGTGTCGGCGGGGGTTAACCCCCCCTCTAAAACGCCCACCGCCTGCCTCGCCCCGCTACACCCCGCGACGTACACGCGTATTAGGAATATATACGTGTAGTTTTTTCAACGGCGCGCATACGCGTGTACATACATAGGCACCATAATATATATTATTATATATGCGCGCGGTGTACATGTATATATATATATATATATGGTGTGTATATATATATATATATGGTGTGTATATATATATATATGTGTATACACATATATTTATCGAAAACGAATATCGTTTCGGGCGCCGCGCACCCTTGTAATGTGTTATCGCCGTCGTCGGGACGGCGCGCCGTTACGCATAACGGCGCGATGCGTGCGCGCTTTGTCGTTACATATTATTGTGTGTGCGCACACGTAGGATATGCGCGTAAATGCGTTTCCGTGCGTCTGACGACCGCCGCCGCTCTTGGGGACCAACCCTCTGCGGCGGCCCCGTCCCCACAACACGCGGGATACGGCGTACATATTATATACTCGAGAGAGAGAGAGAGAGTGAGAGAGAGAGTGAGAGAGAGAGAGAGAGAGTGTGAGAGAGAGTGTATATATGCGTATGACGCGCGTGTATACGTATATAGCGCCGCGCCGCGCGGCAGGCACCCCGGTGTAGCGAAGGGTATTTGCGCCGCGAGGGAGAGTGTTATTATGCGGGGTCGTTATACACACACACACACGCGCGCGCGCGCACACAGATATGTGAGATACGAGCGGGAGACGACGGTTCTGGAACCCTTATGCGAGCCGAACGTGCATACAGGACGGTCGAAATGCGCGTCGGCGAAAAAACGAAACCCGCAATAACGCCGTCCTGTCGCGTAACACGTCGCCGGAGCGTACCGCGATCCGCGATCCGTGTACCCCGGCCGGAAGGACTTCGGCTACCACCACCCTTCGCTCCCTACCCTCCCCTCCTCCCCCCCCGGCCAATCGGCCGTGGTCGCCCGTTTAGACGTGTCCCGACATCTGGCGTCGAAATAAACTTCACCGCCGTACCTAATACCATCCGCTTGTTCTCCTTCGCCGCCGCCTCTTTTTCTGTTTACCCCCCCCCCACCCCCATTTCCTCCTGCGGCTGTTTTCGTTACGATTCTTTTGCCGCTCTATTTACGCACATCAACTATGTATCGAACAATTTAACGAAACCCGCAATACGATAACACTGTAAACACTCGAGTGTTTACCTATTACTCGTGGGCACACGCGAATAAATTCCATTTCGTCGCGTCGCGTCGTCTTTCGGCCGGCGCTAGCCCCCCCCCCCCCCCCCCCCCCCCCCCCCCCCTCACCTCCCGTAGACCCTTTTCCCCGGTTGAAAAATTCTCGGGTACGCCGCCGCCGCCGCCGCCACCGTTTCGTTTCGCGACGCGACATTTCGAACGCTCCGTATGCTGCACGACCGAATATAATATTATATATACATATATATATATATATATGTATGTACGTACACGACGTATATAATTATATACGCGCCTACGTACACACGCGCGTACTTGTATACACATATATATATATATATATATTGTATTTGTGCGTGTGCGTGTGTTGCCGCGAGTGTGTAACGTTATTCGTGCGTGCGTGCGTGCGCGCGGGTGCGTGCGCCGCGCCCGTATTAATCCCGACTGTATTTTTCACGTCGTTATTTATCGTCTCCGGGACGTACGTGTGCGTGTACACCGGTATACACGCACACACACACACGCGCCCGCGCCCGTATACGCCGCACCGACGGCGTAAAAAGAAGAAGAGAGAAAAAAAAAAAAACCCGACGCGTTATTTTTATATGCGACGTTATTAATGCGTTTTCTTACGATATTGTGTATACGTACAACACGCGTACGCCGCACATGTATACGCGGCTACGTGACCGCAAGCGTCGAACGGATAACGACCGAGGTAAAAAAAAAAAAAAAAAAAAAAAAAAAATTATCTTTTTTTTTTTTTTTTTTTCCCATTCTGTTCTTTTCGTCTTCCTTTGTATATACGTATATTGCGTACCGTATACACACATACATATACATATACGTACTACAGGTATATCGTGTTGTACGCCAACGACGCGTATAACCTTCGGCCGCGTACGGTCCTCTATACGGATACGTTTTTTTTTCCCATACGTATACACACGCGCGCTTAAACGGAAACCGGTATAATGCGGTTAACTGGTTGGTGAGACGAGATTTTTTTTTTTTTTTTTTTATTTATTTTTTTTCTCTCCAAACCGTTCCGCCGCGCGACGCAGAATAGATCGGTCCGTAACACGAATACATTTTACACGTATACACACACACACACACACACACACACAATGCAATACAATAATACAATACCGCGGCCCCCGTGTGCGTACCCGTAACGCGTACTACGTCCTACGGCGCGTATACGCGCACCATACAATACGAAATACCTGACCGACGTCGTTATTCGTTCGGGTCGCGTCGGGTGTGTACGGAAGACCGGGAGAAGAAAAAAAAACAAACGAAATCCGACGCGTTTCGCATCGACGGGTGGGCCGCGGTCGTTGTGTCGGGAAGGTGTACGCGGGAAATCGAACGCATAGCCGCGGCGGGCGTGCGCAGGATTCGTTCGCAAGGTGTGCCGCGAAGAAAACGGTCCGCTATCCCTTGGCCTCGTACCCTCTCCCCAAAACAAAGCGGACGGTGAACGCAAAATATCGATTCGTTCGAAATCGCATTGTTCGTCCGCGTATTGTGTGTGTGTGTGTGTGTGTGTGTGTGTGCCGCAGTATTACGATATTACCTGTACGTCTGACAAGTATTACGCGAAAAACGTTATTATTATACGTCTAAAAACGCGGTATTTAACGATTAATAATAACGTTGTTCGAAAAAAAACTCAATTCCGTCACGATTACAATGGTTCCTGGACCCAAGGCAGCGATGGGTAATATCGTCGCAGTATAAGCGGTCGCCGGTTGATTCGATTTATCGGTTACGCTATGACAGTTTTACCAAATTGGTTAGCGTGTAATTAAAAAAAAAAAAAAAAAAACCCCAGAATGAGTCGATTTCTTTTTCAACCCAAAGGCACGGGATGTGTCATGGCACGCCTGACACACCCTGTGCGCGAGTATATGCGTATAGACAGACGTACGTGGACGATAGGTCGATGATAGTAGAGGGAAAATTTAACGCGCGTATCTGCGCGCAAAGAATAATCATTTCTAACGAAAAACCATTGGAAACAAAGTTCTGCTATACATGTTTCGAATGGCCGTAATATTGACGATGTGAAAATACCAACGAATCGCGTTCGTTTTCCCGTTTTCCCTACGGTTTTTTCACGGGTTTTCCGCGTTTATTAAGGAAAACCCGTGGGATAATTGAAAAATCACCTCCCGAATGTACCTCCGCAGTCCGATTTCCTCTCGGGAAAAGTGCTGCATTTGAAAACCGGAGACAAATTTCTGGTACAAAAGTTGTTCGCGAATAATAAGAAAAAAAAATTAAACACTATTGTAAAACCTCGTTCCGCTCAGAATCTAAAACCGTCTCGTCCAAATGTATACCGTACGGTATTATAATACAATATTGACCGCGACGGTCGTTGGCGTGCGTAATTGCGATGACTTTTGTATAAATCGTCTTTGTGTTTTTTTACGTACGACGGATAGTATTGAAGAACGCTGTTGTTACGCCGAGCTGCGTATACGCGCGAAAAAATATAATACATTCATATTTAATTAATATCAATTGCCAAAGGTCGGCGAGTCTACGCGTTAATATGTGTAATAGTTATAATCGGAGACCGCGGATTTATTTAACGTTGTTAAGATCCGCAAAAAAAAAAAAAAAAAACTCTCGTAAACGTCGAAAAAGCCTTGAAAGATGCACTAGGAAAATATTTGAAGAAGCAAAAATAATAGAGCGGTTTAAAACACCCCAATCTAATGGATTTAACTTATAAATACAATTTTCCGATGCTACAGAAATGATTGATAAAAAGTATTGTGTTATATAATTATAACTATAAACGTATTAATACGCAATCTGTGAATTAGTTGAGGTAATTTTTTGTTTGTGTATTGAAGTTATTTAAAGACATTTGTGTTATTTTTTTCTGTCTGTAAAAGCAGCTTTTCCGCCGGACTTTTTTTTCCGATCATTGACTTTATAAAGGTGGTTTCTTATAGAAAAAAAAAATTATGTCTAGTTGGTGAAGGACGCCATTTTTTTTTTTAATTTTATTTATTTTTATTTGTAATTCATTTAGTCATTAATTAATCACCGTAAATATAATATTTTGTATTAACACTGTTTAGACGTTATACAATTTTCAAAATATTCTGGAGATTTTTGAGCTATTATATTTATAGCCATTTGAAATTTTCGAGATTTTTAAAATTTAATTTTGTTTAGTCGAATTATTTCTGCCCAACATAAGCGTTAGATAATTTAACACGGGGTTCATCAAAATATAAGTTGTACTTGATGGGCGAAATAAAAAAGTATATAATTTTTTACTAGCGTTTATAATACATTTTGATGAAAACCGTAAAATTCACGGCATTTAAGAACGTGTACAACCGAACTTATTTGCTCAGAATCGTTAACAATGATGTTTTCATCATGAAAATTATCTCACTTATTTTAGATAATTTGTAATTTTTAGAATATAACAATGATGGTGATTGATGAATACATAACACATTATTATTACAAATCCCACACGGAAGTTTATCCCAAGTAGGTACACCTATATTAAATTAAATATTTATTTTGAATTCAGAATTCATCATACATTATGTATGGATAAAATACGAATACATTATATTTATACGATATCTTGATATTTGTACACTAAATGCACTAAATATTAATTATTAATATATACATAGTGTTAACTGTTAGTTATAACTTACAAAAAAAAAAAAAAAACTTAGCTCATACTGCTGACGATTGCGCCACTGTTGTAGGTGGGAAGTTGAGAAGGTTGCTAGGATACGTAAAGTAATTTATAATTTACATCTGTAAGCAACGAGAAATTAACGAAAAACGATTCTGAGTGAAGTTCGTTTATAGATGGTTTAAAGGCCGTAATATTTTCGATATCTACCGAAAATTTGATTTTAAAACCATTATTAAAAAGAATTACAACATTACACGCCTTTTTTTTTTTTTTTTAACCACTAATTACAACTTGTAATAAACCTACCGTTAACTTTTAAATCTTTCTGTTTGGTCAAACAATGATATCCATACATTAGTACGCGTCTATACCAAATAAAATCTATAGTAGCAAACATAAAATGCCTATAAATAAATCAAAAATCAGCAAAATTGTTTGAAAATTTGACCACCTTTGGAAAAGGCAAATATAAATTATTTGTCAAAATTTAAAGTTCCTTGAATATTTTTAACTGAATTATAACAATAATGAAACTATTACATCCGTGAACTTTCCCGTTCTATCTACGTTTTTTTTTTTCGGTTTTTGTCAATTATCAGAAAAACTACACGGAAAATAAATAAACGACCTACTTACTCACCAACTAAAATAAAAATTCAACAAAAAATGTATTTTGGCCTTTTTTCGATTTGGAGCAATATTTCTGGTAGAAAACATAAAGCGCAAATGTTTATAAAATAATGAAAATACAACGCCGTAAATTTATCGGTTTTATTTTTTGTCTTTTTCCGGGTTTTCCCAGTTACTATGAAATTTATTTGAAAAATCAAAAAAAAAAAAAAACGACCTATTTCGCGAGCAACTAGATCCAAAAGTCAACAAAATAGGTGTCTTGGAATTTTTCGATTAAAGCAATTTTTCTAGTAGAATAAACATGTAGCGCGTACGAAATTAAAAACAATAATGAAATCCGTTGGAATGTCAAAAAATGACCTCTTTAACTCATTAACTAGATAAAATTTCGTTACAGTAAAAAAAAATCATCGCTCTACTCCTAATCTAAAAAATAAGTTAGTACAATCAAAATCAAAGATTAAAAGCTAACGTGTTAAAAGTAAAAATCAACTTAACTGTTAATACTTTTAACTCGTTAATGCCCAGCCTTTTCTATATTTATTATTATATTGTATACGTTTATTGCGGTAATGTCGACATTTTCCCTTTGCTACCACCTATATTAATTGTTTAGTAAAAAAAAAAATAAACTTTTCAAGCACACACGGTTGTCTGAAGTTCACGGTTCTTATTACAGGACAATCCTGATAATGGTATCATTGTGAAATTTTACTTTATGAGTAAAAATACATTTTATTGTGCGTAATTTTCCTATTACGAGGTACGTCCAGAAAGTAAGTTCCGTCGGGCAATAAAAACATGTAAATGTGTAAATTTTAATATAAAATACATGTATCACTTTATTTTTCAACATAGTTGCCACCATTGTTTAAGCACTTATCATATCGAGGTACTAATTTTTGTATCCTTTCATCATAGAAATATGACGCCTGTGATTGTAACCATGCGCTAACAGCCTTTTTCACCTCATCATCTTCGTTGAAGTTCTGGCCACCCATAAATGATTTCATGTGTAAAAAAAGATGAAAATCACTGGGTGCCAAATCTGGACTGTAGGGCGGATGATTAAATTGTTCCCGTGCAAAATCTGCAAGAAGTTGTTTCGTCACATTTGCTGTGTGCGGGCCAAAGATGGTCGCCCAGTTCGTTCTTCATCGTGAACGGCCTTCATTGAAAAGTCGCACCCATCTCCTAACCATTGAATCACTCATCGCATTTTATCCATAAAATTCACAAATTTGACGATGAATATCAACTGGTTTGATATTCTTTGCATTTAAAAAACGAATCACAGATCGTAACTCACATGTGGCGGAATTTTCTATTCGTTTATCCATTTTAAAACACTTGCCACGTGACGTACGTACACTAACTAGTCACGGAATAGTTATAAAATGTTCCAAATAAGTAAATGAAATAATCGGATATGACCGTAATTAAGATAACATCGCAAACGCGATAAAAATAGAAAACGGAACTTACTTTCTGGACGTACCTCGTATTTTGTAATTCGTTAATTTTTATGTCAAAGTCGAAACATGTCGATAACAAAATTCTGGAATATAATATACAGTACAACAGTACAACACTCGGAATACTGGAATCAATCGGGTTTGGGCGTACGCTATTTTGACGGGAGAGAAAAAATATTACAATTGAACAAATCCAAGTAGGAAAACATTGTACTGCGCGACGGAATGCATTAATGGTATAGTGGTTATATGCACGCGACAATATTATTATAGTATTGCGATATTTCTCGAACACTGTTGCGGGCTCGATTCGTTCGAATCTCATTCGATAAAAATGCGTATTACGCGTATGTGTTCCTAAAGGCCGACAAGGGAAAAAAAATAACCAAACGACAAACGATGGCCCCGACGACGGCGGCTAAACAAAACGAGTTTCTCTGCGCGGTTTTTATTTTTAGACTATCGTTTCCCTCGACCGCGACCGCGCGTGAAAAGGACTATGACACGAACGAAAAAAAAAAAAAGTCTATAAATAAACCGTTTTTTCCATTTACAAAATATCGTAATATAATATTTACACCATCGCAGCGCAATCGGTTACCCATAGCTATTAAACAACTATATTATTGTACGTATTAATGAATCTAAAAATGATTTTACCGTGAGAAAACATTTGCAAACCGGACGGACATTTGAAGCGATATAACAGATATAACTGCCCGCATAGGTGCCCGCGGTGGAATATTCATAAATTATAGTTGTTAATAACTTCGTGGTAATTAAGTCTTTACAAGCGAGTTAAAACGGTTAAGAATAGTTAACAGTTTTTATGAATTGATTAAAATCTAATTACGTTGGTACCGCCATTCGCGTTTGCAAAGATTTCTTCGTCTATAGCCATGGCAAAGTACATAGTTTCACTTGACATCTCAATTAGTATCTTCTTTTAGCTCTTCCGGTATCGATTGCGACAGAAGAACGACCTTTTTTTCAAATTTACTTCGCATAAAAGCTTACTAGAGATAAACTATACCGGCGGAATTCAGGTAATCACGACATACCAGTACACCCGGATAAAGCAGTTTCAAAATCCGCTTCATCTTCAAACAGGATGGACATCGTTTTATAATTTTTTTTTTTTTTAACTCTCATTAAGTTATCATTATAATAGTACGGATTTTGAAGGCAATGACTTTATTTTTCTATTGCTCTAAAACGAATTTACGTCAGCTACAAATTCGATTTACAGTACTTGGAATAAAGTGCACGACATTTTATTTTGCTTTTTCGCGTTTTTTGTACATTAATGCTTTTTCGGGTATTTCGGGTACAGTTTTTCAAAACGTGTTCCAAATAAACGTATTTAAAATGTTAATATTTATTTTTATATCATTTAATGTATTCAAAGGTCGTGGCGGTCTCAATCGATTTTATGTCGTTATGTTTGATTTACGGATGTATTTATCGATGTAATTTAGATAATGTGATTTACGTACCGTATGGCATATAGTAGATTAATTAACCTCGAAACGACAATGAACACAAAAATATGGCCTATTTTTTTTTTTTTTTAAAAAACCCATTTTTTAAGATTTTTTGGAAGATTTACACAGCTTTATTGATTTTTTTTGTAGCGCTTTTCTTTAGTTTCTTATTGCTTTAAAATCCGTACTCTAGTTATTAATATTATTTTTTTTTTTGATAAATAACATAAATAAGCATCAAATAATATACTAGTATAAACTATGAAGAATATTATGTAAAAATATTGATTTTTTACAAAAAAAAATTTTTTTTTAATTTTAGTTTTGACATTCCGTGTGCGCTGATATATGATATTTAACAGTATAATATAAAAGATTGCGGGAGAAAAAAAACAACGATGTTCATAATAATCGTTTTTTTTTTTTTTCTATATTTTATTTCGTATATCTGCGATCTTACCGTTCCCCGATCGCATGCCCGGTCTGCCCGACGAGCGCATGTGTATATCCTATAACGGTAAACACCAGACTCCAAGAGTTACGGTATAAACGTCACGGATAATGTTGTAAAATCGGTTAATGCCGTTATGTATTTATACTTTTTGTCCAAAAAAACCGATTTTGCGCTTTTAGTTTTGACACTGCATAGAGTCGCCACTCTACAGTACAGAGGCGTACAGTGTACACGAGTCTGTTATCAAACTTAAAGGTATCAGAAACATTGTCGGTTTTTGTACCCGTTGGTTTATTCTCGGTGTGTCAACATGCGAGTGAGTCGCGAACACGTGACATATGATACGATTTAATAATCTGGAATAAAAATTGAAATATCGAGAAAAAAACCTACGCGTACGCAAACGCTGCAAACAACACGCTTGCCCATGATATAAGTCAGTTGATATACACACACACACACCGACGTTAAAACGAACAGCACAAAAAAAGCAGATATAACAGTACAATATTGCATCGACATTGGCCGTAACACATATTATCACTTATGAAATAGTAAAAACAACGCGTATTATCGTTACACAATGGTATATAGTGTGGAAAAACGGCGACGGGGGTGGGGGGGAGATAAAAAAAAAAAAAAAAAAAAAAAAAAAAAACACCGAACGAATCTCGTCGGTTATTCCGCGCGCGCGCGCGTCACCACTCCGCCCGTCCGTCACGCGGGCGGCCGACGAGCGGAGCGGGCCGAGCCGTCCCGGCGTTTGGTTTTCGGTCCGCGGGGCGCGCCAGCTGCCGGCGCGCACAGTCCGCGCACCCGCGACGGCGGCGTCGTCGCACGCGTAACGGCAATTTAGAACGCGCGTACGCCGCAGCGGCGCGCGTTCCGCCATTTTACGCGCCGCACGCGCACCCTACGCCGCCGCGCGGCAGAAATAATAATACGCGCGACCCTTCGGCCGGACGGCGGGCGGCGGCGGCGGCGGCGGCGGCGGCTGCCAATCATCGGCCGCCGCTCCGGGTCTAACCCTCCTCCGTTTTCTATCGGCGGAGATCGACAGAGAGAGAGTGAGAGAGAGTGAGTGAGAGAGCGAGTGAGAGAGAGAGAACGAGTACCGAAAACGGTAGAAAAAAAAAAAACCCACAAATAAATACGCGCCGATAAATTATTATTGTGCTGTCGCGTACATCACGTGTATGGGATACACGGAATCCCCGCCGCGCGCGACCGTCGCGACAACCGAACGTCGTTGTCGCGGCGCGGCGTTCCGATTAGACGAATCTCGCGACGGCGAACTCCGCGTGCGGCCCGCCGGTCTGAACGCGCGCCCGGACAACGGACGAACGGACGGGCCACTCGTGCGGCACAACGATAATAATGATAACGAGCGCGAGCGCGAGACGATGATCCCGGAGCGGCGGTTTACCGTTCGTCACTATATTCGTGTGTGTACAAAAACCGGTGTACATTTCCCCGGTGTAAATCGAACCGGCGCGCATCCGAGACATTTCTCGGGGGTAGCCCGGTGTTGAAATTAACGACGCCGCGGTTTCGTTTTTCCGCGCCACCGTCGCGCGAACTGTTTACACCGGTTTCGTCCCATCTCGCATTCGCCCCCGGAAATAACAAACGAACCGACAAATGATGACGATAATAATTTTTTATTCACGGCCGATATTCGCGTTCGGATTAGTTTCGACGCCCGTGATGCGGACGATTCGATAAAATTGCCCAACAGAAACGAATACCGTACTGTACCGATATTGAGCGGAAAATGAAAAGTATAGGTGATAATTTAAATAATTTATTAATATTGTTAATTTTGGACAACGGTGGGTATGCAGCGAGTGTACACATCGTCGATCGTCTATGGCTCTTGTATAATAATCGGTGTCAAGTGTCCCGTGAACCGGTACAAAAATGCGTTTCCCAACGAATTTCTAGTGTACGACGTACCTAACTGCGCCCGTCCCTCTTGAAACACCGATAGGGTATGTAACGGACATAGCTCAATCTGTATCCTTGTTATCGACGGACCCGAACCGAAAAGAATATAACATAACGACTGGCGAGCGATAACATGATATTCGTAATAATATCCCGCGTTGTCCCGAGTTCCCGGGTCGTTTCACCCCCGTAATCCCGAACGCGGCTTTTCGTTTGAACGCGGGGATGGTTTTTGTTTTCCTTGTGGCTACGCTTTAACGACGCCCCCGAAACGGTATCGCGAGCGCCGTCCACGGTTGAAAAGTAGATTTGTTCGCGTCACCGAACTTCCGAACCGTTAGCCGTTTGAATAACGTATGATTTCTTAATAGTTGCCGATTCGTAGGCGCGTGCGCGAGTATGATTGTAATTCGCGTATCGCGGATGTTGCATTGTTCATTCCGCTTAATTATTAACGCGCGTGTTGCAAATTATTACCCATAATCGGGGCCCGGCCCGTTTAAAACTCAGTAAATATCGTGGCACGATAACATACGGCAAACGGACAATTGACGACGGCGGTGGCGCGCCCCGCGGACGTCTACACACTAATACCGCGCGATACGCGTAATAATAATTATCAATTTTAGATTTTGAACGCTGCGGTTTTTCACTGCGAGCAGTACATGGTAATTTTGTTCGTTTATTTTCGATTCGTAAGAACGATTTTTCAATACCGGACCAGAAATATCTTATTCCGATTTCCAAGCGTGTAACA